AATATTTTGTTTTTGGTGTATTTTGTTTTGTTTTTAGTACATTTTGTTTTGTTTTTCGTGTATTTTGTTTGGAAGTCGGTTTTGTTTTTTTTGTTGCAATAAAGCAGTCCACGAAGTCATTGTCTCTTGCAGTATAAAAACAGATACGTATTTTGTCATTATTAAATAACCAATATTACATTAGACTTTTAATTTGATGTTATTTTCTGACAATTACTATTTTTTGCATTACTTGTCAACGGCCTTCATAGTCGAATGCTTTTCTGTTTTTAGTGCTGTTACTTTATCCTTGTTATTTTATTTTTTTCTAATTATTTTGCCTTATAACCTGGCATTATTCAACCGGTAACCAGCTAATTAAAACATCTATTACTGTTCCTGCATCAAATAAAAAGGTAGTAGTTGGTTTTAAAAAAAAAAACAATATAAATAAATAACAAACATCGCTCTTTATTTAATAGTTATGTACTGGACATAGATAATGAAATACATATATTCGTCGTATAATAACTATGTCACAAATAATTCTTATTATAATTTGTACATTCAAAAACACTTTCACGAATTACATTTTGCCTTTCAATTGAAAGGTCACCTGTTTTCCGAAGATGAGGTAGTTTGGGGGAGGGCGACGTCTGATTCGTTTTCAAAATCACAACATAATCCGAAGTACAAGCAATAACACTGCTGTTTACATTAACTAATATAAACGAATATGAAAGGAAACAATATATTTCAAAAATATCAATAAAATAGGAACTCATATCGATTGCAAATCTTACATTAGAAATAGATTTGCGATCTCTCGCAAGTTAAAATTATATTAATCGATTAAATTAAAATGACATTCGGTATATTATATTAGCAATTTATAAAGCTACGCTAATAGCGGTTAAGCCTGTAAGGTTGAATAAATGATCGCTTGATTACAATTGAGGTGCAACTTATGGTTGCTAAGTTAACAACTTAATTAAAAATATAGTTTCAAAAAATCGAATTAAAAGATTGACTTGGTAACTTTACTTAAGAGTCAAAAATTAGTTGAATATATTATTTCTTGGTATCTGTTAATAACGTTTCTTTTTTGTCATTTTAATTTATTCGAGAAAAAAATAACACAATGATGATCAAGCAACAAAATTAGGTTAGTATTACAATTAACGGTTAAGCAATAAAATCAGTCTCATATTGTGGAATTGGTAAGCGATGTCCACAGACATCTGACACGGTTCACGTCTGTACATAAGAGTGAGTTAAGATCAACTTTGGCTTGTTACCCTGAAACAGTATCCGATCCGAATGAGGTAGATAATGGCACCGCACAGCATTACACTAACTAACGTTAATTACAACATTCCAACATCGATAATTACGAGTCCTAATCGTTAGTACTTTAATTATTTGTACACATTTTATTTTGTACCTAGCATTTCTTTGGAAAAAAATATACTATTACGTAGATTTTATATCGATATATCCTAGTAAACACTACAGCCATCGAATACTTACGACTAATAATAAAATAATAATAATCAACAATCAATACCGCTTAAATAGCTTCGTTAATCCATGTGCGCGAAACATTCAGAACGTACTTCTGTGTTAAATCACAATGAAAACGAATAAAATAAACACGCTACAACTAATAGGAGACTAATACCCGTAGAACAAATTGCGTCAATGCTCAGGACTCCTGCTCACCGCTGCTCGCTCGGAGCTCGGAGCGCTACATACGTACATCACATATAAACATAACAAGATCCATGTGCACTGAGAATTGAATCTTAACACTAACGTATATACACAATCCACATTAAATACTTTGTAACTTACTACTATTTCATTATCTAACGAGAACAATTCCAAGTGTACATGAACTCGCGAAGACATTTAGAAATCATTATAATAACACCTACTATCCATACAGATTATTTTGAATCAAAATCGTATCGATTCTAAGACAATTTTGACGATATAAATATCCCTCTGATAGCGATCTACCTATGACTATCAAAATATGTACATACACACAAAGACTGCATAAAGCAGTCATATATTTTATAGATTGCTTACGACGAATTGATAAATAATAAATAATTTGATTAGAAGATAGCATTATGTACAGAAGCTAGGCGCTGAGTCGCGCCGCGGCCGCGTCCTGCTCGCCCGGCCGGCCGGCCGTCATCTACTCGTAATTACCCACCGGTAAAGCTCCATTGATTCCGAATAATCGACCCCTATAATTGTACTACGAGAAAGTATCAGTTACGCATTTGCCGATATTTGAGAAATTAATGTGCTTTTATTAAGAAACAAGTAAAATTGGAAAGATTTATAAAAATCCATGAAACGGGTAAGAAAGGGCGATTATGAAGCGGTTATCGCGAGTCGCGGCGGATGAGGGTGCGCACAATGGCGCGGAACCTCGGCAGAATCGATACCTAATAATCACCGATTGTTAACTGGTCTTTGTAACCGGCGGAGTAATAAGCAATGTCGCGATGCGGCCTTCCCGGCGGCGCGGTGCGGCGGCGGGTTCCGGCCGCGCTCGCCGCCTCTCGTCGCCGCCGCGAGGGACGTCGCAACGAGATCGATGAACGTCAACCATAACGAACGTGTTTTTCTATCGCGAAACGGACAAAGACGCAATAAATCAAAAAATGCCTTTTGTGTAAAACGTTCTATGTTCCATGAGTTGCAAAACAAAAGAATAAAAATGGTCTAGTTTTTGCATCGTCTCGCCTTGCGATTATGCAAATGGCACAACAATAAAATTTTTAAACTGTAACATCGTGAAAAAGCGTTTTTTTATGACATTGCAAATGCGAAACTGTAAAAAGTCAATGGACGACTACCTAAAGCGACTACGGCGGTAGTCTTACCGAGGAAATATGTGCAAAAAACGGCAGCTTAAATAATTTATTAGAACGAGCGTTAGCGGTAGGTAATACTTTGAAATAACGGTACGACAAAAAACCGGGCGAGTAGAACTATCGGCTTCGGCAAGGTGACGTCTTTGCGCAGTCTACAGAGAAGGAACTCATATACCGGCTCGGCGGCGCTTGGGAAGAGGCGCGAGGCGTAGGGCGCAGGGCGACTACGCGGCGTGCACGCGAAGGTCGGTCGGGGAGTCTGGGGTGGCCGGTCTCCGAGGCAGCGATAGGTCTTCAGGCTCTGTCTGCTCCGGCCAGTCATCCCAACGCCAGTCGGCGGCGGCGGCAGCCGGCGGGCTGGGCGCATCTGCTTCACAGCCAGCGCCGACGCAACGGTGCAACGCGGCCGCCTGTCGACGCCTGAATCTCGCACCACAACGACACGCGAACGGCGCGTCGCCCTCGTGTACCAGGGCGTGCGCCTTCAACTGATTGGAATCGGAGAAGCGAGCGGGGCAGCGCGCGCATGCGTACGGCCGCTCACCGGTGTGCACGCGCAAGTGCCGGCGCAGGTTCGCGACCTGCACGAAGTGGCGTGGGCAATGGGGGCAGCTGTAGGGCTTCTCGCCGGTGTGGAGGCGGAGATGTGTTTTGAGGTGATGGTCGCGAGTAAATCGTTTATGGCATTCGCCGCACTCAAATGGCTTCTCGCCGGTGTGAGTGCGTTCGTGGTTCTGCAGGACGTGCTTGTAGCCGAAGGAGCGTGAGCACACCTTGCAGGTGAAGAGCTTGTCGCGCGGAGGGTCGGCGGCGCCGGGCGAGGAGCCAGAGGAAGGAGGGGAGGGCGGTGCGGAGGCGGAGCTGTCGTCGAGCTTGGGTGTGCGGCGCCGCTTTCGTGCTCGTTCCAGATCGGGTGGAGGCAGCAGGGGCGCGGGCGGAGAGGGCGGCCAGGCTGCCAGCAGCGCGCCCGAATAGAGCTCGGCGGGCAGGCCGGCGACCAGCGCTGCCGCGCGGCTCGCCAGCAGCCGCTCTGCCAACATGGGCAGCGACTCCTGACGCATACTTGACAGCGGCCTTACCGAAACACCTAAGATAAAAGAAATTTGTTAGTCAAATTTTGTTTTTTATAATCATTTTATCGTAATGAAATAATTAGTACCAGGTAAGAATCATTCCTTAATACTCCTTTTAATGACTACAATTACTAGATTGACCTAATTGTAATATTAATGAATGCTAGTTAGTAACTAGGTATAAGTGAAAACTACTAACGAATACAAGTGAAAATGACTGAATATAACGAAGGTGCTTGCATATTTTAACAAAAAGTTTGTCACGATCATTTCCGTCACGGGTTAGTTTCGGCCTAAATAAATACGCAGTCGAACCTATCGATAGCATACTTATCAGCGAGAGAGGGCAAAAAACAGAGCAAAAACGGTAAAGCAGACGTCGCGGAGGAAACATTTGGTCGCAATCACGCTGCCGCTGCAGGTCGCTTCCGCCCCGACCTGTTGCGCAAATTGCCTAGGCCTCACCGCGAAGCCGCACGCACCAACTCAAACTCGTGCCTTATGTCTTGGTGTTTAAAACTCATTATCATTAACTGTGAAATCTAGTATATTAATCCACAAACGATACGATACGTTAACTTCGGATACGCTACTGCGAATCATTAAAATCGTTCGTTTGAATGTGTCCCAGCGTAATGACAGTCCGGGCAGCGAGGGCCGTAGGGCAGCGGGGAAGCGGGGTGCGACCGGACCACTTACCTACATAATGGAATTAATTATTCCTCCGGCGGCAGACTCCGCCCGCCCGCTCCACCAAAATTATATTCAAATATTAATTTCGACGAAGAAAAGCCTTTTTGAGAGCACTTAATTAAAATTAGACAAAATCATAATTGAAAGTTCTCCTCGAGGCGTGAAGCGCGGTGGAGGGAGCTCCTTCCTCATATTATCTACTTAGCCGTCGAATTAATTCGGGCCCCGAGCGGCCGCTTAATTGAAACGGCGAATATTTTGTCCTTTGTTATTTTATAGTCACAGGTAGTATAAAAGTTAATTTTATATTAAACTCGTATATATTAGGCTAGGCAGAGAAAAGTCTTGGTTAGGTATTGCTTATAAGATTTATTAATTTTGCTATTTTAAAGATTGTTAATATGCGGCAGCAAATGCGTTGCGTCGCACGGCACGTAGCCGGACCCTATTCCGTAACTTTTTAATAACATTCTTTGCTGTTTAGTTGCCGAGCGGCGAGAAGCGAGTTTTTCGCCGTGTGCTCAGAATTGTAATAATGAAATGATTTTAAATATGACATTTAATTTTTCGAATGATTAAAAATAAGCTGGCGCTAGTCTTTTAACAATATACCGAAACATTGCCTCCCTATATCAGTAGTTAACGACTAAATTAGTCCAAGAACTTGTTTTACAGATTTATGACACAATTTTGACCGAATCGAAATTGCAAAGACATTCTTAAAGCGACACTCTAATGAGATTATTATATAGACAGTAATTGCAAACATAACTACATCCCAGCTTATTTAAATCAAAGTGTCGTTTATTTAATCAATGTTTAACGCAACAAACATATTAAACTTTGGATAAATGTCAACTTTAAAGAAAAAACATTTTTATCATATAATGGTGACAATTTGTTTATAAATAATACATTATTTCCAAAATTAGACGATTTATTAATTGCGTTTCTAATAGAAGCTTAATGTATTATCTATAAATTGACAATAAATAATAAACTTAGTGACTTTATTGGGACGGGTCCTTTGTAAGGTGTCCCGTCGGCTGACAGAAATGATGATAAATTTCAACAGTAGCTACAAACGCACCCTTCTATACTTCGTTTTTTACTCACTAAAGAGTTGTAATTATCCCCTGTTTATACGCCATAAATATTTGTCAATATCCCTTTTCTCAATACTTTTATGGACTCGCCCGCGGTCGCCACTCCATAACATATTGTTGTGCAAGCCTTTTGTTACATATTCGTCTCAATACGTTTTTGTCAGAATTAGTCGTGGAAATATTTCATTTAACAATGTTCTCACGATGTTAGTTATTAGAGTTTTAATTAAATTACTTATCATAATTTTATTTTTATAAAAAACAGTAGATTTTTATTATATAACAAGTTTGATCTAGTATAATGTTTGTAAGATACGGGTTGGGCTGTTTTCTTTGATGGAAAGCCGTATAAGAACCACGGCAGTTTAAAGTTATATATTTGATCTAGTATTTCTATTTTCCTTAAACGTATTCTTTTGCAATATAATTAAAGAAACATTTAAGCGGTTGAAGGCTAATTAGGATTGCACTTGATTGTTCCTTTGTGAATGTACGACCTAATTCGGTGTTTAACAAGATTACAGCGACAAGGCGCGACGGGTGCGGAGGTCTAACAAGTGGCCGGCGAGCAGCCGCGCAGATTAGTGAGCTGCTACGGTTTCGGCAGCTTTAGGGTTAAGAGTCGTCTACACGTGCCATTATGCGGCTTCTATTATATAACCGTTGGTTTTTATTGACAAAATACTGTTTGACATCCCCCTCCTTCATATAAATATAGACATCTTATTTATAAAAAAATACTTTAAAAATTTACTGCTGCAATCAGCCTTGTTAGGCGGTTACTGAAGAAGACCCTTAGTGTAGGTTTGTTATGAAAAATCTACACTGAGCGACCGTTTGAGAAACCATTAAGTGTCTCTCATAACAATAGTAAATATTTTTAAGTTAAGCAGTATTCAATCGGTTCTCTTTTTAATTCCCATAGCTGGTCATTTTACATAAAAATGTCTTGTATATATGATTCATACTCAAAATTAAAAAGTCATGGAATTAAATTTGTATGTATATTTTGTAAGTTATCCATAAAAATGATCCGGTAAAAATGACCTCTACGATTAATGAACTATTTAATTAATAATTTCTGGCCTACAACCTTATAGTATATCTAAATTAAAATGTGACAAAGTTGAAAAAGGTAATAATTTATATTAATCAAATCGCTTACTAAGTAGTAAAAATGTGAAGAACCAATCAACATGATAAAGGGTTTCTGGATAATTTAACAACCAAAATGTTAAACATATTTTAGGCCTATTTTCAAATCAAAATTAAGAACTAAAGCAATTGCCTACATTATCGTATATGGGCTTGTTTGCAAAAATATGTATCCTTAAAGTTCTATAGTAGGATTTTCATTTAATTGCGACATATACAGCAATAGTAAACGAATCGTAAATAGATAAATGTTTTGCAATATTTATGGTTTCAATAAAGGAAAAGTACATGTAAATAATTTCTGTCATGCATATGTAAAAGAAACATTAAAAAACCTAATACAGAAACTTAAACTTAAAAAATGTCAATATTGAAAACTTTTCGTAAAGTTAAACATCGGTGTCGTAGCAGTTCGTAGCTGATCGCTACGCGTACGGCGGCGGCTACGGTCCATTGAGTCTGACAAGGTTTCCAGCGAATGCAAATAGCATATGTTGTGTGTCGTTATCGCGAGCCTCGGCCAATCCCCGACGCCGCAGCACGCATGTCGCGCGCGCTCACTTTCAAACTTTCAGCTTCAACACATGACATGCTCAAACATACTGAATTCGTAAACAACTGAAAGAAAACAAACCTCTAGAGTTCTGAGTCGACTGCAGCGATAAGGCCATCTCACATACAATAACACGGATAAATCATTGATTGTCACTACTTCAAGTATCTTTAAATTTCTTTAACTGTCCAATAATCTCTTGTATAATTAACTTGTAATAACCGATGACGTGTTCCGTCGGTACGGAGTCGCGATCGCGAATGATGGTTAGCGCGATGCGGGCGCTTTCCGTGGGACCTACCACAACACTGGCGCTACCGGCGAGCGAGCAGGCCGCCCTCCGCGCGGTAAACACACCCCCACGCCCCTCCCCTCCCGGCCTGCCCCCCGACCCCGAGCCCCTGCGCCCCGCGCCTCGCCCCGCGCACACCCCGGTGCACTCCACGTGCACGCAACGCATTCACTTTTTATGGCCGCTACTACATTATGTTCCTTTCCTACTACACTTTTTTAGCCCCCAGTAACGAGCAGCACATAAGCACTTTTTATATTTACGACCGGCTTCTGTCCGGCTCCAGACCGGGCGGTGCTTTCTTTCACTAAGAAAGTTGCTAAAATTTATGCACTGTTTTGGAAACGTGTTTTTTATTTGTCTTAAAATATTTTTTACCATTGTCTACTTCATGCGTCAATAATAGTATTTTGTATTTTTTAATAACTCCTTGTTTTGGTAGTCCTGACTGACAGATAAAAAACGAAGAAAACAATTAGTGTTTTGAACCTTCAGAAAATAGTATAACAGTTTCTGTGGTATTCAAGTTCTTTACATGTTTTATTAATGTGATAGAATTAAATTATTACAATCAGTAGAAATAGAGTTATTGAAAGTATTAACACATAATTAACAATTACCAAACCATAATTATTTTATCATGTGACTATTGTCAATAGTTAATTCGATTAATTATTATTCATTACTTAACCCATTTCAGATTTATAAATTGACGATTAACATCTTGCTATCGTGATGAGTGACGATTAGCAAATTAACTCTATTACATGTTAGTAATCAAATATTTTTCTGATGAATTATAATATGTAAGTTATCTTTTAATCATTTTAATTTGTATTTATATCAAATACATAAAAGATCAACGCTATAGTGTGGTTGTTGATAAAATTCATCATTTGTTATGGGTTTTTAAACTCGAAATAAATTCGATAAATCATAAGAAATGTACATTATTCGACTGTAAAAGTAGAGTTGAAGAATAACCTAACAAATGCCTTGGTATTTTTATGGACATCTATTATAGTAAAGTTGACAATAATGTTTGTTTAAAGCTATAATTTTCTACATAATATAAATCTACCATTTCAACAATCTTCGTAACTTACAAGAAATCTTAAATATTTGTGAGGGACAGTAATTACTGGGCCGAGCTGTGTCGGTACATAGTTCGGCGAGCGATAAGTCCCGAGGCATCTATTGACTCAAAGACAACACGCATAAAAAGCATAAGTGTCGGGCTTCGGCGGCGTATCGCGTAAATTAAGCGGTTTTATTGCGCCCGCAGACGCTATTTTTACCGGTTTTTACTATTTATACGTTTTTAGTGCGCACGCGCCGCGCCGCCCCATCTCTGTTCGCTTTTTATTCCGATGTAAGGAAGCTACACCCTTCAAACTATTATTAGTAATTGTATTTTTAATTACCTTTAATCTCTGGTAAATCAGTTGGTACATATGTACGTTATATCTAAATGGGTTTTATGTTTATGTCTGTTCAAAGTCTAGAATTAAAGATGTTTAGTTTATTAAATGCAGGGGACAGTATTTTTATGATCATTGAGAACTTGACCATGAGACTTAACTTAACTGTGACTTAACTTAAATGTGTTTTGTATAGTGATAGAGATAGTTAATAATAGGATATCTCCCAAATACGGTTTTTATCTAAAAATCGTGTAAATAGTTATTAAAAAAATTTTGTCTTAGAAAATACACCAAATCATTATGTCACTTTTTATAGTGAAATAGTTGAGTGAAGTTGAATAAATTATTATGTAAACATATGTGTTTTGTTAGTATCGAGTGCATCACTAATGACATCTCGTGCTAAGTAAAGAAAAGTTTATTTTGGACGCGACTGCGCCTGCGCCGCGACAATGCACAACGCAAAAGATTGTTAGTTTTTTAAGAACCGCTTCCCACCTGCTGCCGGCACGCGACAGCGATTTTTATCGAATAATGTACCTTATCTTATAAGTGCAACGTCTATAATTGTATGAATTAACTAAAGTAGGGAGGTTTTTTACTTAAAAAAGTTTGAACCTTCTCTCTATTTCGGTGCATCATCATTGTTTAGCAGGATGTTTGGGTTTGTTATCTCGCACACGCCGTCGCACCTTGCCTCGCTTTCGGAAGCGGCCCTCGTTCCTGCGAGATATAAATTAGGCAACAACAAGATCTTTGTCCCGCTTGTATTCGCAGATAAAACATTTGCCACAAGCGCAGGTGCTTGCTTTTAAAGATATTATCTTAAGTCAATATTCTATATTATTTCGCTATTAATTAGCAACTGGCTCGGCGGCCTATTCCTTCTTGTTGATAATATCGCAGTTTCTTTTGATATACCTACCTATGTCCGCTTAAAAAAGCTTTATTTATTGTTATAGTTTCGACATTACCTTAAAATATGTAGGTTAAAAACTATTTTGATATTATACGTTTTAGGATAAACATTTTGAGATTTCTATAATTTGTACTAAACAAGTCCTGGAATAATAGATTGCATTTATTTCCACAATGTTACTAGCAATAAAAATATGGCAAATAAACATAAAAACCACAAAATGTTTGTTTTCCTTTAATATAAAAACGTTGTTTTATCAACATGATCACAGGTCTTTTAAAAAGGTGAAAGTAGAAAGAACTCTTTTGTTCTGCGGACGCAGGCAGAGGCGTGTTGTAGCGAGGCGAGGCTGTTCTCTACGTCGTCGTGTCGTACACTTCAAAGGAACCAACTCTTTGAAGACGCGAAACCGCAATTAAGCCTTGCCCATGCAAAATTCAAGGACACTTTGCAAGTAAATGAAAGGACTTCTCGAAAATCATCTGAGACTTTCACTTTCTTTTATTCTCTTTAATGTTTTGAAGGATTTTATCGGTGAAATATCGCTTTAGTGAACCTGTTATTTTTTTTTATGATATACGACCGCACACTAGTATAACACTTAATTATAAAAAAAATACAGATTTTAATTTGTAATTTGTATTTAGAAATAAAAGAACAAATAACAAAAAATTGCTGATTTGTTTTTGTGATAATTGTTATTTTTTTTATTTTATTTGGATAATAATAAATAAATTGAAACAAAGACAAACAAAGATAATCGGTATAACATCTAACTGATATGATTTGATTTGTGCTTTATTTGTAGAGCCGTTGCCTCCTTGATGATATTTCTGTTTAGCGTTTACAACTTCTTATCAACTAGGTTTAAATCAAATTTAGTATTTTGTAAAAAAAGGTTTTTGCAAAATATTCGAAGTCACAACCCAAGTGACTTAGGTAGCAAAATAAAAATTGAAAAGCGAAAGTTAACAAAAGCCTTTGAAACAAAGTGCGCCGAGCTGCGCAAGCCGAGGCAGTCCTATTGCGTTATTACAACAAACAAAGCTTCGTTTACATTAGTTTCGCAAATTGGAGCAACCCGGTTTTATGACATCGGCCGGTGTCATTGTCCGGCATGGACAAATCTTTGCAAAACCGCTCGCCGAGGTATACGATGCGCAGAAACGAACTATTGTTCAATTGAAATGACACAAGAAGTTATTTAACTACTTACAATAAAAGTTTTTATTGATGTTTTTTTCATATTTTTGACCTTGACAATATCGCGGAATCGACCATTAATTTAGATCGTTTTACGACAGTTAAAGTGTAATTATTCAGGTCGTAATTTTTACTATGATATTATAAGCCATAATAATAAACAGAGTGACTACTTGGAAAAATTACTTAAGTTATTTAAAGTTCACTGTTTAGTAAACTCCCTAACTCGAGCAAACTCTACTAACTACTGTTTCTTTTTAAATAATTTACTAAACTATTTGGATGTGGATCATTCTAGAAATTTTAAAGCTATTAGAATTAATTTCTCAATTGTCTCCTTTTATTAGCACTTAGGTTAGAGAAAGGGTTATTATGAGAAAGTTAACTGTTTAAACTGTTCTACGAGTAGATGAAAAATTACCTACCATTAATATACACCGTTCATAATTCCTACAAAATAAATTTCTTACGTTACAGTTTAAATACTATTTGTGGTTTCGATACTATTATTTTGAATGATAAGTGGCATAAAATGAGAATTACCGATAGAGTCTTTTACTTTTTTGTTATTAGCATCAACGCTAATTATTCAATATTATTGTATGTTTTTAAAAATGTTAATATCAGGTAAAATTCGATGGTGGTTATTGTTTTTGCACAATAGTATCGGTTCCCTTCCGTGTGCGCGGCGACCGGCGACAGCGACAGCGACAGCTGTGCGCGAGCGCCGATATTAAAAACTTGGTGAATATCTGCCCAGCATTATTACGCATTCGGCCGTTACGAATCTATACAACAATACCCTCGAGTTTTATTCGGCGTTTTTTTTTTCTATTTGTTGGCGATTTTAATGTAAATTTTAGGTAAACTCTCTACTATCCGGTTTTATAACGGTAGGGCGATTGATCAAGAGTCGATGTAATGCGGCAACAATCTTATGATTGATTGAAAACTTGTTTGCTCAGATTGACATGTCTATAGTTAGCCGTTAAATTGTAAAACGTTTGTTAATTACAAACTTTTTCCCGAAAAATTTGCTCAAAAACACGTAATTAAAACTAGTTTCAATTCTTTACGTTCGTATAACTTTGCCATTGATTACAACGAATTCACACTAATAGTGAATAGATTTGAATTAGATCAATAAGTTTCTTCATCAATGTTCCCTATTGAATTCCGTGAGAAAATATTAATACTTTTTTCATATTTTCTGAGAGCCATAGCAAATAAAGCGTTATCTTACAAATATGTTAGCCTTTTATCCGAGTATCGTTCCGGTCGCTCGCAGGTGAGAGTGGAGACAATGCTGATACAATATCGTATGAAATATCGCCTCCAAAGGATTCACATTGAATATTTATTCCCGGTCGCGTCCGAACTGGAACGGCCTTTGTTACAAGCGGCCGTTTAAACTTTTGATTCTGCAACGGCAACAGTCAACTGGACCCTGCACGTAATCTTAAACATCGTAACTAACTATCAACTGCTGTTCAAAATAAACCTTACTCGATATAAAATACAGTTCAATATGATAATTTCCCAATCGTAGATGTGCCGATACGTAAAAAGCGGGTGGCTATTTCTCCGCTTGCGTCACGGACTCTCCCCTTCCGGGTGTGATGAATAATTCCTTTTTTCTGTTGGAGTGAATTGTCCTTGTGAACTGGCCGGCGACGACGAAGGCGAAGGCGACTCGATACGCGCCGTCGGACGCTCGCATAAATGTGAGTTATATCCCGCACTATTCCACTAAAAGAACTCCTCTTTTTATTTCAACCCTAAACCGGGATTTACGTTTTCTCCCAGCCGAACATTAGGCTCGTTTATAACCTCGTATGTACGTATAAGTACAGTAAAAACAAAGAATTTAGGTAACCTGCCTTAGTACTGCGGCCCTGTCTCGATAAAAGTCACTCTTGCGTATTTATTTCACTTTACTGCTTTCATTTGTATAAAAGTGGACAATTTAAGATGGCTACAAAATTATATTTGTTATTCCGAAACTAAATTAAAAAATAGCAGTACTTCGAAAAATCTGTTTATATGTACACTTCTTCAATATATAATCTTATTATGAATTTAATTGAAAAAATCGTAACTAGTGTATTTATTGAATACCAATTCATCTTGTAATAGTGACGTATAAAAGGATTAATAGGACATCAAAGATGAAGGAATAACGGATGTCGCAATGGCCGGCGACCGAGCAACGGGGTGGACGCGGCAGGACGCTCGATCACTCCTTCCTTGCTCTATTGAAGATGTCTCGGCCTCTTTGTGCTTTATGCCCGCCGCCCTTCCCCCTTCCCGAGCTGTCACCTTTTGTATCACATACGCGACGTACGGATAAGCAATCCTACGTCAAACGTCTTGCACAAATTCTAAAATAACAACGGAATAATAATTTTTTTTCGTCATCCCTATGCAAACCTTAGATAAGTTTAGCGTTTGGACTCTTTGTCCGGCGCAAACAAGGGACGTGTCCTGTTTCTTATCTGTTATTATTGATCGTATGAATGGGATTGGATAGATAACCGTGAAGACAGAGATTACCACGGTGTTGTTGATGTTCAAGTCAATCCTTCATTTGCTTGCAGATTCCTCAATGGACACGAAAAACGTGAACGCTCGGAATTTATTTACTCTATGCAGGAGTTGAATTACTACTGAAGAGTTATTAAAATTAAACAGAAATGTATTAATTGCTTAACTTATATAAGCTTACTTTTATGTTAAATACTTCATAATATGTGCTGTGAGTAAAAAAAAGAAGTCCACATCCATTTGAACACGTTGTAGCGATAACGATAGCCCTTTTATGTTTACACATAATTTATGATCTTTAAACAAAATATTTTAATAACCCTAATAGTAATAGTCTTAAAATGCAAATATTTATCTATCATATACAAACGAGGGTGATTTGCAAATGCTAATAAGAATTTAATAATTCTTAAATTATGACAAATAATATTTGAACTGTCACGTTTCCCTGGTCATAAAGGGTCCTCAAATGTTCTTTGTGGCGAGAAAGCCGCATGGCGCTACGTCTATGCCCTCCGTTTGACATAGAAATCACTTTTTTATTTTTTTTAATACAATACGCAAGCACTCGTGCCGTCGCGTCGCGGCCTCAGACACACGCCATTGTGACGCGACGAGATGCATAATTTGTCGAGCACATGTCGTTTTTTTTAATCAAAAGTTCGATAAAAAGTGACCCATAGAGCAAGAAGTAACGGTAATCCAGTAAAAAAATATGGACAATATCTATAGTTGAATTTTTGACCATGGCCATCGAAGGACAAAAAAGGCCAGGTGACACTTTTATTGACAGTTGAATTATTCAAATAATATAAGTTTTGTTCGGTAAGAATGTGATTTTTTAAAGGTCGCAGTTTATTTTCTTTTAACACAGCCGCACGTGTTGAGGGCATTGGTCTTCAGGTTTTTTTTTATATAACCAAAATCTCTTTATTTGATTCAAGTTGTAGAAGACAGAGAGAAACATAAACATGTAGGTATTAAGAGATAAATTACAAAGTATCAGAATACAAAGTTTCTGTGATTACTACGTGTGCCATTTTTATGAGAAACACTATAATACTCCTGTTTTTCTTTGCGCGTTGAAGCAATTTACACCCTGCGGTGCTAAGGGCGCACTCACAGTGCTCGGAAAACCTTACTTTTAGTACGGTTTATTTTTTGATTATAATGTCTTTAAATTATTATAATATCTGGTATATATTGTAATAATTTACATACATAATCATATACCTGATAGAAATACTTTTAGTGGACGTCGTCTCGAATTAGGTTTAGGGACAATTATTTAATAATTAAGTATAAATTTAACTACAGTAACTATTATATTTTGCTTGTTTTACATTAGTTAAGATTATTTTTATAAAAAATAGTCTTTGCAGGCAATTCCGTCCACGCGGAATTATACAATGTAAAAATGCAATTAGAAAGGCCTATGTATTCTATCAGACTAAAGCGCAGTTGATTCCAGTTGAACAAAGATCCATCCACCCATCTATCTAAACTTTTTCAATTATAATATTAGTGAGATCAACTTACTCAACGCTATTTATTTCCATCCAGTGTGTACAACGGTTAAGTCGCGGACACAGCAAATCCTTTCCAATAGTTTGAAGCGGACAGCTGACCTTTGTAGCCCTCGTCTCTGCCACTGACAACTCACAAACCTCTCCCAGCCTCTTACAAACAACCTCTCTGTAGACGTTCAATCAAGAATACAACGTCACTAGAATGCTAAGGTACAAAAATCATATATACAGCCAATAACGATAAGTATTCTTTGAGAACTGTAGTAAAAATTTATTTTTATTTTATCGAGTAGTGCTGAAATTTTATCTTGCCCTTGAAGTTCTTTATGGTGACACCCATAAAACTTTAGAAAAGTTGTTATTTTGATATTTTAATATTCACATAAAAATTTTTTTGTATTCATAAATGCTTTATAATTTGAACATTTTTATTATCTAAAACGACCAAAACAATTTTAACTTTTTTTCTTAAAAGCGGAAGCGTTACTTCACTGATTAATTTAAAAGACGTAAGGCCTTTAAAAATTTTATCAATTAAACTTTCAAAGTAAAGTTTAAATACGTTTTGTACTAGCATCAAATGTATTAAGATTGAGGTGCTACAATTGCACAGATAAAAATGCACAATATACAAAAAAAAACATTGATCGGATTACTCTCGTCCATCAGAAGGACAGCTGCGGGACAGTTTGCGAACCCATCGCTTTTTTTACAATCCATCGCAAATAAATCCATTGCGAATTGCATCATTCAAAGTTCGCCATACTTCCGATCTGTAAGGTCCAATTTCAATTCAATACGAATTCACATAATTTTAAATTCATTAATCTTGCGTAGTCACAGTGAGGCTCTGCAGCCACTTGTGCGTGGTCAGTCGCTGGCAGGAAATTGATTGTGTTTTTTAATGTATCTCTTATTTTATACCTGTTTATGAAAAACTTTTTTCAGTACTTTTTAACTTTAACATGATGCTACGCTCTCACGATCGTATCACCGTGTTTCCTTTATTCCAACGTTTGTAACAAGCAATTTATCAAGCTTTTAAATGTCCCTGAGTAATCTTATCAAGTTATATATTCGTCAACGTTTGTTCTGTACGTAGTTACGCGAAAAGTTAACCAAGAAAGATTTATTTTAATGATAATGAAGTGACGATACGTGCAATAAAAAATTTTAAATAATAAGTTTTTGTCTTCACAAAAATGTATACTTTCATATTACTATTAGTTATATAAATTCCTAAATATCTTTAATCGTTAAAAAATACTGACTTTTTTAAGGATGTTAGAGAAGATTATCACTGGTGCGAATTTTTCGGTTTTTTCACGGCTTAAGAATTAATAGCAGCATAATAAATATGCCACTGCATCTTCCTACGTTTGACATTTAATCCGAAATGTACACAATACGGTGGCCGTAAAAGAGCATTTAAAAGCGATTTATCATTGTATGCGCGGTATGCCCACACCTACGTCAATCAAACAGACAACGATTGAATTTGGACACACGCATTTACATTAACATTAACCTGATAGTTACTTTTAATTTAAACTTACTTCATTTTATGGTTTAATAAAATTTGAATATAGAATAGTAACATTTTCAATAATTGATATGTGTTACAACCAAAACGTAGTTAATTTGCAAGAAATAAGTCTTCAAGTGTGATTGTGCAATTATTTCGTAATGTAAGCTTTTTGTGGCCGGTCAACATAATACTGGAATATTATATTTCTCGAAAGAAAATATCCTATTTCCGCATCTTCTCACAACAATAAGTGCGCCACCTAACTATTCAAATATAACAGCGGCGTGGGTACGGCGCAGCGTTTTTTGCGACCACGAATTAATGGATAACCAAAATCCACGCTAAATAAAAAACGCATTTATTAAATGTTGGTTCCACATAATAACACGTTGGTGGTTTCTTTCATTGTTTCCATCGACTCCGAGATATCCGGTTACGGCCGTTAAATATTTTGCCTGTGGATGAAAGCGAAATCTGCTAGTTTTTTCCTATCGACGTTTACTTTTTGCTCGTCGAACGCGGAAGTCGCGTACTTATGCAAAAGCTGATCGTTCAGAAATTTCGCTTTTATATTTAGTAACCGGCGGTTGCAAATAACATACAATTACAAGCCTCCATTTAAAAATGAAAGACGTTGCAATAATTATTGGAGCGATATTTTAAGCGCTCTTTGTAGCCGACTCCTCGTAAATTAAAGTATTAATTGGAATATCTACATTTGGCCGAGCTCAAAGAACATTTCGCCGGGAACATTTATCAATTCCACAAAGAGAGTGAAACCTCTCTCGAAAGAAACCTGCGCCGGACAGATTTAATTTGTTGCGAAGGCCTTTATAATTGGAACATAAAGATTGCGAGTAATTAATTTTAGCAGCGAGTCAGAAGCAAAGAGGCTGTGCATTGAGTCCGGCCGAGGCGCGCCTAATTAATATTAATGACTTCCAGAGGCGCCTCCGCAGCGCCTACACAGCGCCTCTGCTCGCCTCCACCGCCGCCACCGCCACCGCCGTCGCACAAAGGATCTTCTTTATCTACTACTTACCGACTTTCGCTTTCAATCGCTCTTACAGATTTAAAATGGCGTTAATCGCCATGAATATGAAATTTAATTGATTTATGATTTTTAAATTAAAGTTTTGAAACTTAGAATCTTTTTTTACTTTGATAAATGGCGATGCGATATTCATTGATTATCGTCAACATTTTATGTGTTAGTGTCCTGTAGAGAAAAAGACCAAAAAAGGAGTCGACAAAATGTATTTGCAGCAACTAATTTATTTAGGACCCAGAAGTGTTAAGCCTAATGCCAACACTATAATAAGCTTCAAACAATGCGTTATCAATGTCCACAATTTATGCTAACCATTGTTCGATTATTCGAAAACTCATTAGAGTTGATATAAAAAAGATATTCAAAATTCATATGTTATGTGGAACATTTCGTGGAACACTTAGCGAGTGTGAACGGTTGTGATTTTAGGTGTGAACATGATATGTGTAGAGGCTGTAGAGTGTAGGTGGCGTAGTGTGAGGCAGCGCGGGGTGGGGCAGGGTGGGGGGTGAGCGGTGACCGATGAGACGCGGCGCTAAAAGCCGGACGGAAGCCGCGGACGGAGGCTCACGTTACGACCGTGGGACCCGTGCCCAATACATTCAGGGCTGGCCCATGCTGAATTTCGACAAGGAGACAAACAATATCGCAGTTATAACTACTTTAAAATATTCCGTCATTAATTATGTTATATTTTACTTTATTCTAGTTTTTAAAATAGAATTAGTTTTACTTTTCTATGTTTTTACGCAATGCTATTGCTTCTCATCTTTACCGTAACAGAGACAAAGTAAGTTTATGAGATTGGTTTTTAAATTATAAGTAAATTAAGTTGGGGCTCGCACACAGAAAGATTTTGAGTTATAAAAAGGGAAAAGTGTGTAGAGTTTTTATTCAGTCACCTGTGGCAGCCCTGTTATTATTGCACAAAGAGAATATTTTTCCGCGAGGTCTCTCAAGCGTCCATATGCGAGCCATCTCCTTTCTTCCATGGATGTGTAATTATAAACAAAAACTATACAGCCGACTTGATTTTTTGTGTGCCCCCGATTCCGCTCGGTCTACTTCACCCTCTCCGGAAGAACTTTAGCATTCTGACTTCGTTGTGATATGTTATTTGTTTCGTTTTCTAGTACATAATACAAAATATAAGATTTTGTATTTATATAGTTTTGGTATTAGTCAAATAAATCTGTATAAGACAATGCTTCGTAATACAAATTTGGTGTAGGATAAGGTTATTTCTTACAGAGAAACTTAATTTAATTGGTAACATTTTCTTTTACCCGCCTGTTTTCGTCTAGTCCGTTCTTAAAATACAATAAAATTTAATGAATGAAATTAAAATGAAATGCATAGTTTTATCTAGGTTTTATGCAGAGACTATATGTATAAAGTTTTAAGGTTATTTCGATATTTAGAGAGAATCGCGTGTAGTAAGTTTCGCTCGGCCGCACTGAAGAGCGCGCACACGTGCAGATTACGTTTCTCAAAGGATTTTTTACAACAAAACATGTGCCGCTTTTTGCTTAACCCACTTTAGCTTCGATTATAACCTTCTTACCTACATTTGCAACGCTTTATTGTACAACGCATGCCGACAGAAATGTTACATATTACTATTTTTTGTTTGTGGCTGTATCATTGTTTGCTTTTGCTGCTATTCCGACATAAAAATTCAATTTCACTTTAGAATATATAGGAAAAATATACGAAACTGGTGATTTTCCAACAGTGTAAAGTTCAAGTTCAATGCTAGAACGTTTCTCATCAGTTACAGTAAGAAAATACTTGTAGGCAGTGATCTTTGCATTGTAAATTAACATCGAGTAAGGACTGTACTAGTTTTGTTCTTCATTATCAGCCTTTACCTGCCCTCTATTGGACATAGGCCTTGTCCAATACCTCCCACATAATATGTACATGAGATAAACAAATGAAGTCAATTTATACATGATTCGGCTCTAAATTGGCAATAGGGTCCTCCAATTCTCTGTGGTCTAGTTGTGCAGCAGAGCGGCAGTTTACAAGGCACTTCAATCCACTAGAGTGTGAAATCATCCGTCTACAGACTATTCAATACACACACCGACAAACGCGCCTCGATACTTTTGTAGCAATCAAAGATTTTGCGGACCGTGTGCTTACCCTTATTTATTTCCTTACAAATTTTGCTTTGAATTTCCTTTTGGGTAGTTATTTATATTTTAGTTTGGTTTCTTAGTACCGCTGGATGGGAGATATCAATCTATGTGCCAAGACATGGTCAGTGTAGGTGAGCGGTTAGTGGTAACTACCATATTTAGCAATGTTATTGTAGAAGCAGGGACCAAATTGATATCGTACGAAATAATTAGGGAAAGCGAAAATTTATGAAATTTCATTCAATGTTTATAAAAGTTTAAAAAATACCTTTTTTTTCTCCGAATCGGTTTAGCTATGCAATAGATTCTATTCAACAAAATCTAGTAATATCTATAAATGTTGTTCGGTATGGGATCAAACGAAAGTGCAAGTGTTGCAATAACGCTCCGTTTCATCGCCGACTTGCATTCCTATACTTTTTTCGAACCGCTTTGTTTGCGCGTCGAATGCGAGTTATAAATGATCGAAGCTGCGATATCGATTTACATTAAAAAAATTATGCGATCCTTATGAGTTACAAATTTCAACCGTATAGCTTATAATATAAAGCACATAATTCATAAAAATACAATATAAAATAACTTACCTGAATTTAAAAATAAATCTTTGAATTGAAAGTAAAGTATTGTAAATGATTTGCGGAAAAAAGTTTCAAATGCATTTAAAAATAGTTCATAAACATCAATGGTCCAATGAGTATAAAAATTTTAGATAGTTAAAAGCAGAACACTGCAATATAGATAAAGTGCAATAGAAAACAACACGAAAACAAAAATATCTATCCTTCTACTTCTTCGGCTCAAAACCGGGCGAAACATGCAATTTCGTTAGATCATGGAAGTTGAAGATTTTACCTTGAAAAAATTTGAATCTTTTATTTAAATAAAGTGACATTTGAAAGGCAAAATGCTGTAACTCATAGTAAGATAAATATTTTTATTGCAAAGCTAGTTATTATTTTCATAAATGTTCCAGTATCGTTTATAATTTAAAAAAGTTGTGATCCTTTCATGGAAGAAGTCCGAAGAGGAGTAATTAACCCGCTTTTTGTGACTGCCCCATATACATTTGATTTATTTTAGGATCCTTTCTGAAAGAATTTGCAAAACATTGTTGCCTATTGCTACGTAGAACACTGGTGCTCAAACAGTTGCAACCGCAAAATTTATTGCAACTTTTTGTATGTTTTGCAACAAAATAGGTACTTACTTGTTAAAATACTTGGAAATGGCAGTCAAGATTTCTATTAATTCACTTAAATGTTTGGTTTGATTGGCACTTTCTTTTATGATCAAGTTATAATTGACATACTATTTGCTTGGCTAAGTATTGAAGGATGACAAAACAGATGATTTTCTAACATCTGTTACAGTTTGAGCATCAACGCTATCGATCCCAACACGAATGATTCCGGGAAGAGAGTAAAAAGAGCAGGTATAAGACGAGAGTGAAAGGGTCGATGCAATTCGAGAACTAGGCCCAGTTTCACTGCGTAGCGCTGACCTTCCTTGCAGTTTTTGTGGCCGTGCGGATCAAATGAGCCATTGACTGACGAACGATATCGAACTAAGTACAAACACGTGGGCGCTGCCGCCTTTCATCCTTCAGATCCTACATATTGTACACTCTGATATCCTTGCTATAGCTTCTGGGAATATCTCACGGTCAAATACAATGCCGTGGAACTTGTTAAATGAAACCATATTAAGATTATAGTGATAACTATTTAGTTTCCTTACTTATGTTCTCTTCTATAGCTCATAAGATGGATGGGAAAAAGCAAGTGGTAAGCGGTGAAGACGTAGATACTGGATGTGGATAAGTTACGTGTCAATCTACCTTAGAATAAAATCACACAAGCGCTGCCAACCCTTCTATAGGATGACATCATTGACCTAAATTCAGCAATTACTAAACAGAGTATAAAAACACACACAAGACTTACAAATTGATATAGAATGTATATGTATATTGTATAGAAAGTCTTAAAAATTATTTTGAGGAAAATAAAACATCACAATAATCACAAATAAATATTAACATCAAATTTTTTTTTAAACATAGGTATTAACTGTGTGTTGCACAAAAATTGAAACTCACACTTGCATTAATCTCAAGTTAACAAAAACGTTATTCAAATGTTATACGCGTTATATAATTTCTCTTTTCCCACGCAACAATATCGAGACATCCTTTCATAGATAGTAAACATCGACCCTTTTAGATCAAAATTTGAATGTTTGACAGCAAAATTTTATTTGCGCAATTTTTTTTCAATCCGATACACGGTTGCACTTTCTACGTAATCGGCGTCGTGGGAATGCAGGTGGGGAAGGGTTCTACCTACGCCGAGTCCGAAACGCATGCTTTGTGCCAACGGACCGCATACAACTTGTACAAAGTCAGAATTATTAGGCCATTGTGCACACGTCAAGTGAAACTCTGTAATAGATAATTTATGGAGCTGACGCAAGATACGTCTAACATTTTAAAGAACTTTAAAATATTAGGGTTGCTCGGGGCAGCTACCACTAAATATATTATATTTTCTATTTAGAGATTTGTGAAGATAAATTCTTTCGGTTTGTTTGTCTGGCCCGACTTGGTCGATCTTCAATATTCATCCATATAACAAAAACAAAACACATTACAAATGTTGTTATGTGTCATATATGAGTATAGTGGTTTTCTTTAATTGAAATGACAAAGATTATGTAAGTGGTTAGAATAACCAGGTTTCTTCATTATTTACATGCTTATGATTTTGTTTCCTAAGTTTTATGTCTTAATGGTATTTAAGAAATTTCTAAAAGTAAATAGGTTATAGGTACAGAAAATTTCCACTGACAGAGTCTGTGTACTCTCAGAAAGTAAAAACAA